GGGCAGGTCACGCGACGAGAGAAACGTTCTTTTTTCTTTCTTTTTGCCAGAAACGGGAACGAAACCGTCGTTAGCTGCCACCGTGGTTTTCGTTCGAATCAGACCGTGGTTCTATTGCGTCCGCGGCTTTCCATCCACATTGTTGAGGATTTCGAACTTCACGAGCCCGCGAACATCGAAACGCGCCGCGTGCCGAGGCTGGGAATCCCGTGGTACAGCGGTGTGTTCTTTCTTTCATTTTCATTTTAATTGCGACGACTTCCGCGCCTCCGCCGTCACGGTTCTATTTTTTCGCTCGAGTCTCCTGGCCAATTATATTTAGGCAGCGCCGTTGTTTCATTCGACGATACTATCTGCGCATCGTTTCTTCTTTATGGAGGCGGGCATGTGTGTCAGGAGACGTTATGGAAACATTTTATACGCCATGATTATCCCGTTCTGGAACGCTATGTTTCGTATTTAGACGTCCCTCAATGATGAATGGTACAATGAGTTATACAATGAATTATACAATGAATTCTACGATGAATTATACAATGAATTTTACAATGAAGTTCTCAATGAAGTTTACAATGAATAATACAACGAATGGTATAATGACTTATACAATGAATGATATGTTTAATGATACACTTAATGATACAACAAATGATACGAGTAATAACATGAACGATACATTTACCGATGCAATTATTGACATAAAATATAGTGCAATGGATAGTTCAATGAATAGTACAATGTACAATACAATGAATAACACGACGAATGGCACCATAGAAAATGAAGTAGTATCTAATTCTATCTATTGTCAATATGGAACAATAAAATCGAATTGATTTTATTCCAAGATTTTATTCCACTATATTCCAATTATATTTTCTATTAGAAATAACAAGATCAATATACACCAAGGAAGACACTTTATATGATAAAAAGTATCTGCATCTTTTAACAGAATGTACAGAAAATTTCCCCAATTGTCCCTCAACTTGTAAACGAAATATAAACGATTTGGGAAGAGGAGACACGATTATTCGAGCTTCGCGACTCACTCTTATAGTCGCCGATTGTCGACAACTATGAAAACGAGCCGCGTGACTTGAATAATCTTCCCAAATTGTCCACTTCTGTATATAGGTTGAGGAACAATTGCAGAGAATTTACTGTATCTTGAATAAAAATGCAGCGTTAATCGAGACCGAGGAAAATTAATAGAGTGCTCCTCCGTAACAAACTAATTGCACCAGACACAGAACCTTTTAGGTAAAGTATTAGAATTATAATGATTTCACAGTAACATCCATAATGTGCACGAAGTTAGATCGATTAATAGATTGCCTCCGCGCCTCCACGAATTACACGTCAGCCTAGAAATCGATCAGCGAGAATGGAGACTGTCAATTTCGTGATGAAACGACCCCACGGAACGTGTTCGGCAGAATCGTCTCCAGGCAGGTAGAGCTAATCGCGAGGCAGCCGGTTAAAATAATCAAGCGTTCCGGGCGGGTGTTCGTCGAGTTTTCCGAGTTAATTCTATCCGGAAAGTAGAGGATTCCATTTCCTTTGTGAGGCGCCGGCGGTGTGTACTTAGGGAAGGGGGCGAGTTTCCGGTATCACCAATGTGTCGACTATCGGGCGCACATATCGCGGGGCGGAAGGGTGCAAGAACCGGGACGAGGGGGTGCAGAAAAGCTTTTTAATTAAACGCGGCTCGGCCCGGTCCAGCTCTTTCTCCCGTCGCAACCCACCCCCGGCCGCCACCCGGCCCCGTTTTCAGCGCCGCGCTGCCACGGTCTGGGAGTTCAAAGTCGAGGCTCGGCAAGTCAATATCAAATACCTCGGAGCTAGACGGAGTGGCTGTGCGCGCAGTAAGCACCCGAGTAAGCACAGTAAGCAGAGACAGCTACCCCGATACGATCTAACTACGTGGATCTGCCGACGAGAGTTCCCTTTCTATCTATCTCTCTGTTTCTCGCGGCGAATCTATCGCTGTCCTTCTCCGTCGGACACTGGCGGAGGTTTTTCTTCTTCTTCTTCTTCTTCTTCTTCTTCTACTGCTGCTGCTCGGGAATCGGGAGAAGAGCATCGATGCGAGTAGTACCTATCGACGCTTCAGAGGAGAGCAGATCCCGGCGTTCACCGGCACATAAATCGACACTAGGGGCCCTTTCGTGTCGCTATTTCAGCGACCTCGTGCCGACCCTATCGAAGAAGGGCACCGGTGATAATGGTTACGAGCAGGGAACACGATTCCCCCCTTTCGCTTCTTCTTGTTCCTGCGATTCCTCCGCTGAGAACGCTCGTGAGACCGGCCCGATTCGGGGGGCGGTTTACCCTTGCACTTCGACGATGATCCATATCGTGCCGATCCGAAGTCGCGTCGATTCGGTGCCTTCGGAGTACGGTAAATTTTTTAATAAACGACGCTTAATACGGGTTATCGTGAACGAAGATGTATTTAATTGTAACAAGATCGATTAATATAAACTAGAGACTGATACCGATATACGAAATGTCGGAATTATACCGGCATTAATAGTTAATTCATTGTTAATTAGTTCGCTGAATTCCTCCCATAATTTTGCACGTTATGCTATATTCAAATAAACTAAATTATATTCCATTTTCTAATGAAACATTTTGTAATCAAAGTTCGAGACGCAGTGTAACTTCTGTAATAAAATATGAACTTTCCGACAGATTGTTGTAGAACAAAAGATTTTGTATTCTTTTTTAATCTGTCGGGAAATTCATATTTAATCATGCAAGTTACACTGTATCTCGAACTTTATAATTACAAAATTAGACACTAGAATAGCTAAGAGAGTGCTTAACATTTGCCATCGCTGGCGAAAATAATATAAATAATAATATAAATTGTTATAAATCTTGAATAACAAGGAACAATAAATTTATCAATGAGACTTCAACGTAATTAATCGAAGAATCAGATCGCTGCAAACGAAAGAGAGAGAGAGAGAGAGAGAAAGGGACGAAACTCGCGAGCAGTCGCGAAATTGTTCCGCGGATTCGAAATTAAACGACCCATCGGAGATCGTCTCGCAATCCGTGAGCTGCCTGGAGGCTGGTCGCTTTGATTGCGTCCGCGCGTCGGTCGCGCCGAGCTTCCAAAAAGTCAAGCTGGGAAACGCTCCGCAGCGAGGCGGGGATTGGCTGCAGGGGGTGGTTGTATTTCGTTTGCCCGCGTCTGCATCGTTTCGCGGTGGAAAACGCAAGGCTGGCAACGTTTTCCAGCGATAACAATTATCCACGAGAGACTTCATTACCCATTCGCCGCGAGCGGCTTCTATTCTTTATTTATGGACAAGCTCATTATTTCTGTGCAAGTAAGCATATGAAAAATTCTCCCTCACTCTCCTTCTCTCTCTCTCCCTCTTTCTCGCTTTCTCTTTCTCTCTCTTTCTCTGTCTCCCGCTTTTGCCTTTGCCAACCCCGTCCCTCTATTTTCGGTCTCTCGTTCCGAAACCGCTTGCTCGTCCCTCCTCTCTTTCCCGCTGATTCTCGCCGCGTAACCACCGACTCGCGGTTTTATTAAATTAGCTTCCCTCGTGCAACACCGGCTACCGTGGTTTTCTTTTATCGGTGCCAGTTGTCTGTTGGTCACCGCGCATTCTTTCTGTGATCAAACAGTGAAACTATACAAAGGTGCGGAGAAAAGTTTGTCCCTGTGTGTGTGTGTATTTGTATATTTTTGTATCGCTGCTTTAAATAATAAGATTAAAGATAAGGACACCGACGAATCAATATCCAGTCGGATAAAAATTTATCTGGATAAACATTTATTCGAATAAAATTTTATTCGACCCTACCGAATCAAATATTCGATCGAATAAAAATGTATCTAGACAAACGTTTATCCGAATACAATTTTATTCCAATAAGAATTTATTCGTACGAGAATTCACACGCAAAATAATCGATTTGAATAAAAATGATAGAATATAAAGTGTTTTTTCATAGTTTATCGATTTATTTCGTTCATATTACTTCTTCGAATTATTCGAATAAATAGATAGAATAAATAACGAAACAGGACATCGTTTTCTTAGCATGTCTCCATGTTCCATATTCAATATGGAACATTTTAGAACAGGTATTTCTGCCTCAACGAGTACATTCATACCATTCTTAATTACAAACATCGACTTGAGCCGTCTATTGAATCTAAGTTATCTGTTTTTGTATTAGATCTTTTAATTTATACGGAAAGAGTTTATAAATGAATAATTAAGTTTATCTTTCATCTGTTTATATTTGTCAGTAAGAAACGTACATATACACCTTAAACTATGTGTATAGCATTAACATTATAAATTTAACCCGAACTGTAATCTTACATTTTTACATTACGTTTAGGTACAGTAAAATCTCTCAAATTGTCTCCCAGCTTGTAAACAAAAATGAAAAATTTCAGAAGAGGTGATACGATTATTTGAGTCTCGTGGCTCGTTTTTATAGTCGCCGATTGTCAACACGAGCTGCGAGACTCGAATAATCGTATCTCCTCATCCCAAATTGTCCACTTTTGTTTCCAAGCCGAAGAACAATTCGAGAGAATTTACTGTATTTCAAGTTCAACATGAATTTTCGAGGTTAAAAAATATTCGTATTAACATTCTCTCTATTTGTACCTTGTTCTACGACGTTTCGGCTTCGACGTGAAAAAAAATACCGTCGCTTTATCTCGCTTCTATCAGAAGTTGTTCGATTTTGACGCGAGCTTCGTTTGCCTCGGCGTGCATCGTCGGCGCGCGGGATCCGAGCACGGTCGCCGGTGACAAACGTCTCTAGGGCGTCCCGAAGAGGGAAACCGTTTCGCAGAAGAACCGGGAAGACGTTCCGGAATCGATCGGCCCGATCCTCGAATCGGTACGAGAAATCTGAGAAATTTCCCGGAACGGTCGAAAGTAACGAGACGGCCACGTGCAATAAAGTAAACGCCCGTATATCGTAAACTCGGCCTGAGCTCGAGCAATCAGCGGGCGAGGGAGACGAAACAGACGAAGGAGCAACAGCAGCAGCAGCAGCAACAGCAGAGGAAGCAGAAGGAGAAGACTAAAGAGAACGACGACGACGACGACGAAGAAGAAGGTTCCCTGCGCCACGCTTCCGGTACGCGTCCCCGAAGATCCTCGGGACCGATCGAATAGAATCGCGCTCGGCGCGGACGACGAGGAGACGAGGACGAATCGCGATAAACGCCCCTTACCGGGGACTTATAAATGACCGGTAAATATTCATGTCGAGGCTGCGTCCGCCGGTGTTATGCAGATGAGCCGGCTCGTGTGCATCGCGCGTATTATGGTCCCCGACGCCGCTCCGACGAGCAATGGCTCCCGCTCCGTCCTTCGGCTTCCACGGAAGCCGGGTCTCATCTTTCTATCTACCATCGAACATCGAGCGACACGCGAGTCTGTCCCTGCCCTGGATAGTATGCCGTCGACTATGCCCAGGATGCTACGCAAGTCCTACGCGTACGCTCGTTCCCCGGCGAAATAATTTATTACGCACCGGCTTAATTGAAGAATTAATCAGCGCGCCGCTCTGCTCTTATTGCTTGAGAATTATTGTAACTCGGCCGGCTAGAAGGGTCAATTGTCGGGCGAGAGAAATTGTTCGGACCTTCTGCGAGTGCTACCTCGAGACTTTGCTCCTCGAGGTTCGGTGCAGGGGTGTTCTGATTGAAGGAGATGATTTTGTTAAGTACTCGTTTAGTCTTGCAGTCGTATTCAGAATTTTAATCGGTCGTCTTCGCTTCTACCGGTCCCTTTCTGTCGTATTTTCAAGAATATTTCGCGTTGTATACATTTCTATGGTTCTGTTTCAGATGCGGCCTGTAATATTCGGGCAATGCAGTCATATAAACTCATATTCACTTCCATTATACCCTTTCAGTCACATTCACTACCATTATACCCTTTCAATCATGTTTTCAATTATATTCTGTTATATCCAGTCATATTCACTTTCATTATACCTTGTCAGTCACATTCTGTCATATCTGGTCATATTCATTTCCATTATATTCTGTCAAAATTATTTTAGGTCATATTATGTCATATCCGGTTATATTCACTTCCATTATACCCTTCCAGTCATATTTTCAATTATAATATATTCACTTTCATTATACCCTCTTAGTCATATTCTGCCATATCTAGTCGTATATTTTCAATAATATTTTAGGTCATATTCTATCATATCCAGTCATATTCGCTTCCATTATACCCTTTCAGTCATATTGTCAGTCATATTCACTTTCATTATATCCTTTCAATCATATTCACTTCCATTATACACTTTCAGTCATATTTTCATTTCATAGTCACTTCCATTATATTTTTCCAGTCATATTCTCAGTCATATTCACTTCCATTGTATCCTTTCAGTCATATTTTCAATTATATTCTGTTATATCCTGTCTCTTATACACATCTAGATGTGTATAAGAGACAGCTTCCATTATACCCTTTCAGTTATATTGTCAGTCATATTCACTTCCATTATACCCTTTCAGTTATATTGTCAGTCATATTCACTTCCATTATACCCTTTCAGTTATATTGTCAGTCATATTCACTTCCATTATACCCTTTCAGTTATATTGTCAGTCATATTCACTTCCATTATACCCTTTCAGTTATATTGTCAGTCATATTCACTTCCATTATACCCTTTCAGTTATATTGTCAGTCATATTCACTTCCATTATACCCTTTCAGTTATATTGTCAGTCATATTCACTTCCATTATACCCTTTCAGTTATATTGTCAGTCATATTCACTTCCATTATACCCTTTCAGTTATATTGTCAGTCATATTCACTTCCATTATACCCTTTCAGTTATATTGTCAGTCATATTCACTTCCATTATACCCTTTCAGTTATATTGTCAGTCATATTCACTTCCATTATACCCTTTCAGTTATATTGTCAGTCATATTCACTTCCATTATACCCTTTCAGTTATATTGTCAGTCATATTCACTTCCATTATACCCTTTCAGTTATATTGTCAGTCATATTCACTTCCATTATACCCTTTCAGTTATATTGTCAGTCATATTCACTTCCATTATACCCTTTCAGTTATATTGTCAGTCATATTCACTTCCATTATACCCTTTCAGTTATATTGTCAGTCATATTCACTTCCATTATACCCTTTCAGTTATATTGTCAGTCATATTCACTTCCATTATACCCTTCCAGTCATATTTGCAATTATATTCTGTTCTATCCAGTTTCTATTCCAGTCTATTTATTTTCATTATATCCTGTCAGTCATGTTCTACCATATCCAGTCATAGCCATTTTCATTATATTTTTTCAGTAATATATTATGTCATATTCTGTCATATCCAGTCATATTCACTTCCATTATACCCTTTCAGTCACATTGTCAGTTATATTCACTTTCATTATATTTTTTCAGTCATATTCACTTCCATTACATTCTTTCAGTCATATTTTCAGACATACTCACTTCCATTATACACTTTCAGTCATATTTTCAATCATATTCACTTCTATTATACTCTTTCAGTCACATTTTCAGTCACGTTCAAAATTTTGTGTTAAAATCGTAGAACTTTTGATATAAATAATATAGAGAGATGATTTCTTTTTTAAATTGAACTTAAAATGTTCCAGAATAGGGGGAAAATTATAGATAATGTCACAAGAACAATTTTTGACACCGAAAATTTATGTTAAATTTGATATTTTTCGATAAAATTTGGGTTTATCCATTATTCTCCATAATTGTCCCTTATCAAAGTTTTTCAGTTCGATTAGAAAATGAATCATTTCCGTTTAAAGTTCGACAATTTTTACACGAACTTGGTAATTTTTCCGCACTGTGCAACGTCGGTTCGCTGGATACGTTTTCACAAATGTGAATTTTCGTCGAAGAAACATCTGATTGTACGAAAATGGTTTGTTCTACGAACAAACGGGCATCGACATGGGTAAAAGGAACATCGTTGCTACGTTACAGCCGCAGCACTTGCGAACGGTGGTTACTTTCTGGATGCGACACGTACGTTTCGTTATTCCATTGGAAGTTTCTGTTTCTTTGAGGCCTGTCCCCGGTCTGGTCGGTCACCTTCCGGGCAATTTGGTGCGAAGATGCGTGGGAGGATGAGGAAAAGAGAAGAGGGGAGAGTGAAACCAAGAGAAACAGAGAATAAGTGATATAAAGAGAAAAACAGAGAGAGAGAGAGAGAGAGGAGGAAAGAGAGAGCGAAAAGTGAAAGAGGAGAGGAGCTGAGAAGAGAGTGGATCGCGGAGATTAGCCCCGGGAGGCTCCTTTGTGCAGCAATGAAAATGGCTTGTCTCAAAGAACCGCGACGGATACATTTTTAATTACCTCAAATATCACTCGGAGAGCTCGCCCAAGTTTCTTAATTAAATGTCATATTGCGCCCGGAGGGTGAGGCAGCTCCTCTCTCCCGCGGACAGAAGAAAGAAGACGGCCGAGGGAAAGGCGGCGGGAAGCGCTCTCCTCTATTCGGCATCGCGAGGAGATCCTTCGAGCCGCTCGGCAAATATTAGCTATATTAATAACGGGCTCGATGAAGCGCGACCAGGGCGAACGAGATCCGAATTGGCCGCGCCAATTTGCATTGTTCTTCGGTCAAGAATAACAAGACGGAACGGGGGAGTGTTCCGATGCTCGAGATCGCCGATCACAGGTTTATTGTATTTCCCCCGTGGATATTGTTGCCGAGCCGGCCGATTCTTGCGTTTGCCGTTATTGATCGGACCGGGATCCCGAATGTCGGCGCAGTGATCCGCCGGATTGGCAATTAGGATCCTATTATAACGATTGTGTACTCTGTGCGCGCTGTAAAAACCCTTGCAGAAAGGTGCGTTTCGTTCGTTTTGTCGGCGCTGCGGAGATCCAGAACGGTACGATGTTGCAACAGGGTCCTGTCAGATCAGGTCTAGAGAAAATTTGAAATAATTTCATATGTATATGAAATACTATTTGGAAATAGGATTGCATTTAATGCTTGAATTGGATACTATTTGGAAATACTATTTCATATAATGCTTAAATAAAGTACTACAGTAAATTCTCTCCAATTGTCCCTCAGTTTGTAAACAAAAATGGACAATTTTGGGAAGAGGAGATACGATCATTCGAGACTCTTCTCCCCAAATTATCCAGCTAAGGGACAATTGGAGAGAATTTACTGTATTTGGAAATACTATTTCATTTAATGCTTGAATTGAATACTGTTTTGGGAAATTATTTCATTTAATGCTTGAGTTGAATACTGTTTGGAGAAATTATTTCATTTATTGCTTGAATTGAAATATTATTTTGAAATATTATCTAATATAATGCTTGAATTGGATACTATTTGGAAATACTATTTCATTTAATGCTTAAATTAGGTACTACAGTAAATTCTCTCCAATTGTCCCTCAGTTTGTAAACAAAAATGGATAATTTTGGGAAGAGGCGATACGATCATTCGAGACTCTTCTCCCCAAATTATCCAGCTAAGGGACAATTGGAGAGAATTTACTGTGTATTTGGAAATACTATTTCATTTAATGCTTGAATTGAATACTATTTGGAGATATTATTTCATTTAATGCTTGAATTGAATACTGTTTTGGGAAATTATTTCATTTAATGCTTGAGTTGAATACTGTTTGGAGAAATTATTTCATTTATTGCTTGAATTGAAATATTATTTTGAAATATTATCTAATATAATGCTTGAATTGGATACTATTTGGAAATACTATTTCATTTAATGCTTAAATTAGGTACTACAGTAAATTCTCTCCAATTGTCCCTCAGTTTGTAAACAAAAATGGATAATTTTGGGAAGAGGCGATACGATCATTCGAGACTCTTCTCCCCAAATTATCCAGCTAAGGGACAATTGGAGAGAATTTACTGTGTATTTGGAAATACTATTTCATTTAATGCTTGAATTGAATACTATTTGGAGATATTATTTCATTTAATGCTTGAATTGAATACTGTTTTGGGAAATTATTTCATTTAATGCTTGAGTTGAATACTGTTTGGAGAAATTATTTCATTTATTGCTTGAATTGAAATATTATTTTGAAATATTATCTAAT